TCTGTGCTCCTTCTCTTTGTTTCCTTTCCATTTATAAAAACTCTATTTCCATTTTCTTCTTACAATTCCTTTTTTATCTATTTTCTCTTCCCTATCTTCTTCCTCTCTCTATTTCTTGTTCCCCTTCTCATTTGAAAAGATCTCCCTACTTCCTACTGATTTTCATTTTCCCTTTATGTGTATTTTGAGTTTCTATATAAGAGAATCTATGCAACTTTTGAGCCTGTGTGCCTGATTTATTTCACTTAATATTTTAGTCTGAATGTTCATCCATTTATCTACAGTTGGATCAAATGCATCCATTTATCTATGAATGTCTCAAACTTATCTTTCTTTGTGGTAGAGTAGTACTTTATTGTGCATTAAATATTTATGGAGCAATCAGTTAAAAATGTGCATGAATTATCTAGGGATATATATTCAGACATAAGAAACTCTTGGAGAGTTTTTTTTAAGTTAAATTAAAACACTTTATTGCAGCATTGGCAAAAGTCAGATTTCTGATAAAAGAGAAGTTGGGAGATATTTCCATGTGAAATTTAACAACTTTACAAATTTTTGTTTTTAAGATTTAAATCTACACACAGAATCTGAAACATGATAAAAGAGAAATGCAAAATAGCCAAATAAATATGTAATCATTTGTACAATACAGGTGTGTTCTTTATGCAAAACAATTAATGCTTATAATAAAAACCCTGCAGAAAATTGAAATAGATGGCTTTTATCTCAAATTGATAAAGGCTATCTATGAAAAGCCAAAAGCCAACATCATACTAAATTTGCAAAAACTGAAAACCTTCATTCTAAAATCATGAACAAGACGAGGATGTTCACTATCAGCACTCCTGTTAGATACAGTTTTGGAAACATTAGCCACAGCAGTAAGACAATAGAAAGAAATGAAAGCAATAAAGATAGGAAAGGAAGAAGTTAAATTGGCATTATTTGCTGATGATATGATACCCCACACACAATAAAGAAAGAACTTTGTGAAAAGACATCTAAACTTGATTGAAAGATTCGGTAGAGTAGTTGGGCTCAAGGTAAATACTCAAAACTCAATGCTTACTACTTCTCATACAAATGAGGTGATGTCAATTAATTCCAATCTTTGTCTTTCACTTATTGATCCAGGGTGCATTGACAATAGTTTAAAGGAATACATACCATAGTAATGTGATATGAATTAAAGGTAAATGTAAAACTATAAATAAAACATAGGAAGGACATAAAGATTAAGTCATGAAGGAGCCCAGTCCAAGAAAAACATACCTGAAAAGATTTTATATTTCTTATTAGATGAGATTATTTGCATGTTTTTCAACATGCTGTGTAAAAACAAATATATACTCCTTTGGTCAATTTTCATAAAAATCAAATCAAAAGAGATGCTTAAGAGTTTTCTTGATATAAAGACCTTCCTAGAAGAAGCACAACATGTTAAAGTATAATGTCTTCAAAAATAGATATAGTTCCTCATGTACTGCTACTGTTTTTGTCCCTTTTTGTTTTTGTTTTTTTCCACTACTGGGGATGAAACTATGCTTCCACAAGGCTAAATTCCTAGCTCTTATTACTGCTACTGTTAAAGAGACCAAAATAAACATTAAAGCACAAATCACCAATTTTCCCAGCCCTGGGAAATTTTATCATCAAGTAATGGGAACTTTGAGGGTATACTTAGAAAGAAAGGAAGCATTCAGAGCTACTGGTAAAATGGCACCAGACTATTTATTACTTATTTTAAAGCAATAATGATATATAAATTATCCTATCTAACAACTATAAGCATTTTAATTTTTTTAAAAGTTAAGTGGAGGTAATTGCAATTTATCAACTGTTTTGTTTTGCCAAAGCTTTGCACCTTCTAAATAACTCTAGAATTGAGGTGAAATTTTCTTTTGCCTGACTTCTGATCTTTAATTGGTTCCCCTTTTAGGGAAATGTCAGGAGAGGCTACTTTCATACAAAAGGGAAATGAAGTAAACTTGCAACAATTTCTTCTGACAATATTAAAGTGTTGTTTGTGAAAATAAGGTGAGATATGGTGCTGATGGCTAATTGTCAGGAGAGGGTTCCTTTTCTTCATATATCCAGAATTTGTTTCCAAAGCCCATCAGTTTGAAAATTTCTTTATTGAGAGAAGGATACTATCCTGGAAAAACTGATACGCACTGTCAAAACTCACAAAAGGTGGATTGTTACCAGACAGCTAATTAACAATTATTGTGAAGAACACAACTATCATATGGTCTGAGATGGGTGTTGGTCTGTCAATCTCTTTTTAGTATGAAAGTCAAATTTGAAAATTAACCACAGATTTGAGCTCAATAGATATTTTAAATCAAAGTTAGGAATGGGTCTTCATGGTCAAGCTTGTTTCATTTGACATATGTCAGCAAGGATAAGACCCTATCCCTTTATAAGTCTTCACAAGTCATAATCATATCATCAGTCAACCCACGTTCTCTTGTTCTAATGCTGAAAGTTTTTCTTTTCCATTCATTGAGACCTTGTGATTTTTACTGGCCATCCCTGAGTGAAATGGTTCCATCTAGTTCTCTAATGGTCTGATTTTGTAAAGAGAGCTATTGTTGATCATTTGTCCCCCTACAAGAATGTTGTTATCCTTTGGTTTCTTAATCAGTATATTTGATTCTAACGCTGTCCTCTTTCATTCTTTTACAAACAGATAGTGGATCAAGGGTCTAAACGTTAAAGCAGAAACATTAAATCTTTTGGAAGACAAAACAGGTAAAACCCTTGAAGATGTGGGTATACAAAGTATTTTTAAACAGAACATTTTCACAAGAAATAGCGGCAAAGATCAGTGAGGGATCAGCAAGGGATTATATCAGACTAAAAAGCTTCTGTACAGCAAAAGAATCAACAAATAGAGTGAAGAGAAAATCTAAACAATAAGAAAAATTTTGCAAGCTTCTCCTCAGATAGAGTACTATAAAAAGAACTAAAACAAAAAATTAGCCATCTAAAATTAAATAGCTGGTCAAGAAATGGGCTGGAGAAATGAACAAACACTTCACAAAAGAAGAAATACAAATAATTAACAAATATATTAAAAATGTTTAACAGCTCTGATCGTTAAAGAAATGCAAAGAAAATCAATGCTCAGATTCTGTCTTACTCCAGAAATAATGTCAATCATTAGGAAATCAAACAATAACAAATATTGGTATTGCTGTGGTAAGTAAGGAATCCTCCTGTATTGTTGGTGGAAATGTAAACTAGTACAACCGTTATGGAAATCTCTGTGCAGATTTCTCAAAGAATAAAAATATAGAAATTCCATACTTCCCAGCTCTTCCTCTATTAGATATCTTCCCCAAAGAGATTAAGTCATCATACTACAATGATACATACATACCAGTGTTTATAGCAGCACAACTTGTAATAGCTAAATCCGGGAAGCAGCCTGTATACCCATCAACTGATTGGATAAACAAAATGTGGTATCTCTATATAATTGACTATTACTCTGCTGGAAAGAATAACAAATTTGAGGTCTTTGTAGGAAAATGGATGTGCCTGAAAAATATAATACTGAGTGAAATAAATCAAATACACAAGCTTAAATACTGTATGGTATTTCTTACTTGAGTGAGGCAAAGTACAAGCAAAGAAAATGATAAAGGATGGACAGGAAGGGATAAGAGGAACAATCTCATCCAATAGGAAAGTGTTCAAAGGAAACAAGTGTTAGGAGGATGGGAAGGGGAAATGAGAGGAATAAATATTTCCCATTTATAAGAGCCTAATAACTTCAGTCAGTGTAAACATATATTATAACAGGAGCTAAGACAAATAATATCAACAAGTACGTAAAAGATGATAGGAGAATAAGAGGAAGAGGGGGAGGGGAAAGAAGGGGAAGTGCCTCAGAAAAAAACTGAAACTGTAATATATATATGTGTAACCACTTCCTAATAAGATTATAAACTGCATAAATTACAAATATGTACTAATAAAATAATCTTTTAAAAGCTGAATGCTACCCTTTGTCCTTATGCACAATAATTTAACTTTTCTTCTTTGCTCTAGCTACTACTTAGAATTATCTTTGCAGCTCAAGACCCTGAGTTCTGAGTGTGATTTTCTTACATGCCCCTAGATGCTTTGCACCTTAGTAAGCCTTCCTTCGCAGGATTACTCTCAGACTTTGTTGAGATGATTGTCTTTAATTGTTTGATAATTATTTGCATATTTGCATGTAATTATCAGAATCTGACTATACTAGAGACTCGGTAATCAATAATGTTGATTTATTTCATTATTTATGCATTTATTGAATATTATTTATTCATCTATTACCTCTGTTATTAATTCAATAAACATCCATAAAAATCCTTATTGCTGATCTAAATAGGGATAGAGTGTTGAGAGACATGGTCTTTACCCTCCAGTCACTTATAGTACAGTAAGAGGATAGGAAATATATCATCAACTAAATATTAAATTGTCTCTATAGATGAAGGAGTTAAGAGGTTACTCTAGATGGAGTAGCTAGAGCAAAAGCAATGTTATTGTTAATTTTGAGTTGTATTATTCAGGTTTCCTCAGCCTTTGTCACTTAAACTTGAAGGAGTAATAATTTTCATATTTTTAATTAACCTTTCATGTGTTTTGCTTGAAAATTTCATCGTTTCACAGAGCCTAATGGAATAGAGTGAGACAAGTTGTGAATTGTGGTAGAAGACAGGCTGAAGAACAGTGAGGAAGTCTGATATGCCTTCATTGTTTGTGCAGCACTTTTCACTCCTGTTTGAATAACTCAGTACCAAGAATATTAAAAAGAAGCAAAACTTGATTACCATCATCTGCTCAAGGGACTTACTTTCAGTCTAGGCAAATAAGATTTCTGTGGTGAGACACCAAATGTACTCAACTTCCTCTTTTAACAACCAGTTTTTCAGTCATCAACAGGATGTGTGGGTGTCACCCATAGTTAGGCTTTTTTTTTTACTCTAGCTCATTGCAAAGAAACAAGAGTGCATACCCCATCTGGGCTTCAGGGTAAGTTACAGACTAGCCCTTGGGAGCTGGTGATTCCATGTGGGAGGTTTGGTGGGAACATAAAATTCAATAGAGAAATTGGGAAATTGAAATGGTCCCTGGTTTCTCATCTCAGAATTTTACACCGTGAGCAAAGGTGACTGCTCTTGTATCTTATCGTAGTTTAAAATTAGGGTTATTGCCATTAATCCACACCAGTGCACCAAGAGCATGGAGTCTGTGATGCATCTTACTCTTTGCTAAGGCCTCTTCTTTTCTTTTCTTTTCTTTTTATTTTTTAAGGCCTCTTCTTAGAGTGGGAGCTAGAAAGATTGCACAAAGTAGAAAGCAATGAGTTGCTCTAATTAATCTAATAAAGGGGATATGAATTTCTACTGTATATAGTTTATCTACTTTACTAATGAGGATGTTCATGTATAAGATCATTAATTTTGTAAGTTTAGCTTGCAGAGATACTTAGATCATTAAGACCCTTAAGATTGCCCAGCTAGCTAGTAGCAAAGCTGGCACTAGTATCCATGCCTTATAATACATATAATACATATTACATTTCTCCTACAAGGGGCTGTATCTTCCAGAAAATACTGTGGTGTATTTAGGACCCTGATGGTTTTTAGGTTAGGAAAAGATAAAATATACCAGATGATTTCAGAGTCTGCCCAGAGGGGTTACTTGAACATTTAAAAGATAATTTTTTGGGTCTAAACATTGGCCCTACTTGATAGAAAAGCCCCAAAGTGAGCCATTTATATTTTTAATGATGATTACTCTTAAAGAGTGTTAGCATCTCTCCAGTTCTGAGCTAAGCTGACTAAAGTGAAAAGGGAAATTCCAGTTTCAGGGTGGACTCTGCAAAATCAAGGGAACCATGGTCAGTTTATATAGGATAAGAAATGACTGTGTTGAGCTTTCTCTTTAAAGGAGGAAAGGGGATTTTTGTTTCTACTCTTTTCAAAGTTTTTGAGTACATGGATACATTGCTTGGGGGAAGTTGGTACATGTACATCACCCATCTCAATTCGTGTTTTTTTTTTTGCTTGTTTTTGGTTTTTTGAGACAGTGTCTCACTATGTAGTTCAGACTGCCCTGGAACTCACTGTGTAGCCCAGGTTGGTCTCGAACTCACAGGGATCCTTCTGTCTCAGCCTCCTGAGTGCTGGGATTACAGGCAAGTGCCACCACGCCCTGCTCAATTCCTTTTTTCTTCCCCTTTGCTTTCCCACCCTCCTCCCTCCACCTATCTTGTTCCTCTTTCTTTTTTATTTTTTGGTACAAGTTTGCAGTACGTAATGTTTGCATTCCTTGTCTGGAGTGGTACATGAGCATAACACATCCCAATTCCTTTTGTTTTTCATTCCTTACCCCTTCTTTCTCTCCCCCTCCCTTCATCTCTCTCTCTCTCTTTTTTTTTTTTTTTTTTTTTTTGTACCGGGGATTGAACTTGGGTCCTTGCGCTTGCAAGGCAGGCCACCAAACCAATGAGCTAAATCCCTGGCCCATCCCTTCATCTCTTAATTGCCTTTCTGTTTCATAATGATATATCTCTCTATTTCCTATAATCAATCTTTAATTTTTCTCTTTAGTTTTACTCTAGCTGAGTATTCACAACTTCAAGAATCTTGCAAGGGAGGAAATTTTGATTTTGGCTGTTCAAATGGATGTGGGGAGTCACTGCCATTTCTGTTAATTAGGGAGTTTATCTAAGCAATTAAATACAGTAAAATTAGGCACAGATAAAGTAGGTAATATTCAGGTATACATGAATATTTTGAGTTACACTGAGAAACCAGTCATGTATTTAGAATGATTGTTTTTGACACGATTCAGGTCAAACATAGGTCCTTCTGTGGTCACTTCAATTTTGTGGGGTCCAGCTGAGAAAGTCACTGAGCTCATATTCGATTCTTCACAAACCCTCTCAATGGGGTAGTGCATGAGTCCAAATGAATGAACACATTTCTAGGTGGTTTTTGGTGGTGCTTTATGACTAGTTGTGTTTGAGGTGAGTGAGCAGAGGTCAAAAGGTTTACTTACACATACCTTTACTTACTTATACTTACTTTTGGCCGAAAGGTTTACTTATACTCTAGATCAAGATATTTTATAGGGAAATGCATGTCTCATTAATTCACATGGATTGCAGGGAGAGTAATGAAGTACATACATGAACATACAAGCTGTCAAGAAGTCTAGATTATAACCCATTGTGCCAATGACATTTTGTGTAGCCTTGGAAAAATTGCTTCTTTAATATGGTCTCAATAATCTCATCTATAATAATGGAGGAGGGCTTAGAAAAGATGGTCCTAGTAGTGAAATGATTTTATTATAAGCTGTTAGATACCTGAGAAGAGATAGGTCATGGATTAATAAATAATGGGTCCATGTTAAGGAAATATAACTAGAATGAACCTTCTAGAAAAGTAGTTTATATTATCAAGGGAACCAAGTAATCTTCCCTAATCCTCATACGTTCCTTTCAGGTAATCTGATCATAATAGCTTCAACTTTTGGATCACAGGCAATTATTTTTAAAAGATGATAAATATATGATAAAATACAAAAAGCAAACATGAGAAATGGTTCTAAAATCTGACTTTCACAATGAAAATTATTTTCATTCCACATTTCAAATCTTTTAAAGCCATCACTCCCTTTAATAAACACAAAAATTTCACTACAAGATCATTGTGGATTTGATGTCCTAGGAATAAGAGCCTGGACTTATAGAAAAATCTACCCATGAAATTGAAATTTTCCAAGTAGTGTTGTGCCTAATAGCCAAGGAGATTTTATGGATTTATACTTCTAGCTGTTCATATTATAGAAGAAGTAATTTTGTTTCCCAAATATGTTTACTATAATAATTAATATTTTTTCAAATAAAAAATGTTTTCCATACACTCACTGTAAGAATGACTGTCCTAGACATAGCCATGCCTAACAACTGTTTCTTTGAGGGTACTCTAAACTTAGAAAAGTATAGGATCCAACTAAATCCCTAGAGATGACTGTATACAAATAAATTGGAAATGAACTCACATTTATTTAATGATTTATTATACACCAGAAATGAAAAGCATTACTTTCCCATACATTTTCTATTGTACATTTACAATTACCTATATATCAATTATAAAGTCCTACTTTTCCAAGTGGGAAAAACAATGCCCAGAGATATTAAAAGAATTGTTTCAAGCTAAAGAACCAATAAATGAGTCATGTGAGTCATGACATGATCCTAAGTCTGACCAAAGGAGATGATTCTATCTATAAAATGTTTTCCCAACTGCAATCATGATATCTAATTAGGCCTTCTTTCTAAATGATTAAAAATCCATAAAAGCCCTGCATGGCAATTCAAACTTAAAACTTTAAGATGTTATATTGTGAGTAGTCTAATTGCTTTAATTTATTTCAGGGATAAATATAATTTTTATTTCTTCTAATTAACAGAGAAAATGTCTAGTCTTTCAAAATATATTCAAATCTCTGTTTCTGATGTCAAGCAAAGTTATATGAAATGGATTTGAATTACTTCAGAAAATAACAGTTTCCAATTCTAGCCACTACTTCTTGGCTCTGGTTTAAGTGACAGAATGAGTAACGTGGTCATGAAGCTCAGACTAGCTTGTTTAATTCATGTGGGATAGTCATATAAAGCAAAATAAATTTTTTCAAATGACACACATATATTGTCTCCTTGAACATGGAAAAATCCTCCCAAACAACCTATTTTCTCTATTTAATTTATCATTCTTATACAAGATGACAAGCCCACAGGCTGACCCTATTGTCAAAGAAAAGAGGAGAAACAAAGTTGATAAACATGTTTACTTAACAGTGCTGGTGATTTAAAGATGAGAGTGAAAAGAAGAGGAGGATCAGGAGGGTGAAGATTTGTAGAGTTGATACTCTACAAGAGAAATAATATGCACCTCAACCCCAGAAACTAAATTCCACCCTCCTGGCAGCCACTTAGACCTCACCAGCCTAAAGTAAATGAGATAATTTTTGAGACTAGTTTCCTCATCTATTAAATTGGAAAGATATCTTCAATGATTATTTATAATTTTATTAATGGCAGTTACTGTACATAGATAAGTATTTACACTCATTTACTAATATAAATCAATATATAAGATGGAATGGTTGAATTAGGGGTGGTGTTGGAAATGCTGGTGGTATTATTTGAGGATAGAAGTTGTGAGGGCAGTGCTCATAAAGTCATGCCAAGTTAGAACTGAAAGGGAGGTAAAGATCATTTAATTTATTAACTTTATTGGTACAGTGTAGGTATACAGTATGATGGCATTCAACATTGGAAAATTGTAGCTTTGCATAATTTATCCTGGTTCTTATTTCTCCCCTGTTACCTTGCCTTCTCTCCAACCCCTCCCTACTTACAAAGTTTCTGTTTCTGTTTACTCCTTTTCTCATTTATTCCTTTCCCTACACCTCCAACTTTCCCTTCCCCTTTGGACATTTTCCACCTATTTCACATTATATATTATACATGTTGATCCTTATTTACATTTTTGGTTTCTCACACAAGAGAAATTATTCAGTATTTACACTTGTGTGTCCTATTTATTTCACTTAATAGTATTGCGTCAAGTTCAATACATTTAGACTATAAATGTCTGTAGTTTCTCATTCTTTATGGCTGAGTAGGACCCTTTTATATATATAAAAAAACATGTCTTCTTTATCCAGTCACAAGTTGATGGGTAATTGGTCTCTTTACAAGATGAAGCCATTACAAACTGTGCTACTATAAACATAGGTGCACATATATCACTCTGGTATGATTTTAAAAATTCTTTTGGGAAAATATCCAGTAGGACAATAGCTGAGTCAAATGGGATCTCTAATCTTAGATTTCTGAGGTATCTCCATATTGATTTCCACAGTGGTTGCACCAGTCTACACTTGCACCCACAGGGGAGAAGGGTTCCATTTTCCTTACAACCCCACAATCATTTTGTTATTGTTTAATT